CATAGTTCACACATACAAAGAGTTTAAACACATGCAAGCAAATGACACATGCAAAAGGACATGAATTACAAAAAACACACATAATACAACACACGAACATAGAGAGTTCACAAAATTCACAAACAATCACACAAATAAAGAGTTTATACATTTAAACAAGCATGTACACTTCAAACATACATGCACAAATATATCAAAAACACCTATCAAAATTTATTTATCATTTAATCAAGCTTAATAAGTGTGTTAATCATACTTAATTAGCACTATTATTGTCACACTTCATGATCTATATTGAAAGAATTACATTTTTCTTCCATTTTAACAATTTAACTAGAGCTTACTAATGAATATCAGGAAAAAAAATATGATTACATTTTTGTCATGTCCAGAATCTCATATCATAGGATCCTTACTCTTTCCTGAAAATATATAAAATCATGTAATGAGCACATATCTCAGCAAGTAACTAAAATCTTACCACTGAAATCAATACAAGAAAAAAGAGAACAATATGCTATAAATCATCTAAGGAAATATATACATCAATGTCTATATTGATTATCTGTATCAATTTATCATTCTATATCGCATCACATCTCAATTTATTATATTATCAGCCACAATATCAGTAACAATTAACAGTATCAATGCTAGTAACAACATTAGTATTATGATCAATAATGTTAAATAATGTTAATGATAGTTAACAATATTAGTGATAGTTACAATATCAGTACAGTGTTCGTAATAGTGTCGGTATCAGTATTCAGATATTTAATGAGTGTATCTTAAGGGATTAATAAAAATTTACAAAATACAATTAACAAACAAAACAGTATATACAATTCACATATATATGCACAATAATTTTTATTCAAACTAAAATTAATTTATACTACTATCATATAATTATTCTTATCCTAAGTACATATAAAGTTCACACAGTCATGCAAAATATACGAATACAAACAAGCGCAAACACTCATGCAAAATAGAGAAATTTAATATTTTGTTCTTAAATTATAGACGAATTAAAAATAAAAATTTATCTATATTTCATAAAATATTAATACTATTTATTCTAGTTTTATGAATAGGACAAAGGGTTATGTCAAGGTAATCTTTATCACGTGGACTTTATAATAGGTACAATCACTTTTTCTAAATGCACATAAAGTTCACAAACTCGTGTAAAGCATACAAATGCACATAACCTAAGAAAATTAATTATTTAAACACCAAACATAAATAATTTTGATGGGTTTAAATTTATGAAGCTAAGAAAATAACTTCAATTATTTGTTAATGATATCCTTGAATGATAATTTTTTTGATAAATAAAAATATATATAATGTTATTTAACTCAAGCAATTACATACAATTTACATATAAATGTACACACACAAAAGCACATAAACTCATGCAAAATGGAGTTAATTTATAATACCCTTCTAGAAATATTTTTATCCTAAATGCACATAAAGTTCAAACATTCATGTAAAACATACACATGCATACAACCACACAAACTAGCACAAAATAGAAAAATTTTATATTTTGCTCTTAAATTTTATAATAATTTTAAAAAATACAATTCATCTAAAAAATGGATTTCATAAAAAATTAATAACAGTTTTTGTTTAACTTTTTTTATAATATTTTATCACATTGATTTTATACTACTATTCTACAATTACTTTTACTATAAATACACATAAAATTTACACACT